TAAGGAATATAAAGCTTCATATTGCGGTAGGCAGAATTCTAAAGTGATTCCCAAGACTGTCCCCTCCTTGCCCTGATATACATGGCCTCTATAATCCCCTTACCTGCAACAGTGACTGGACCTTTGAATGGATGAGATAGCACTACTATGATTAAGTTATATGACAAAGGTAAAAGAATGTTGTATCTAAGGTCCCCAGTCAGTTGACTTTGATTTAATCAAGAGGAAGATTATCCTGGTTAGGCCTGGTTTAATCAGGTGATCCCTTAAAAAGAACTAGGGAAACAGGCCGGGCGCAGTGGCTCTCGCCTATAATCCCAGCACTTTGGGAGACTGAGGCAGGCAGATCACAAGGTCAGGAGTTAGAGACCACCCTGGCCAATATGGTGAAATCCCGTCTCTACTAAAAATACAAAAAAATTAGCCAGGTATGGTGGGACATGCCTATGCTCCCAGCTACTTGGGAGGCTGAGGCAGAATTGTTTGAACTCAGGAGGGGGAGGTTGCAGTGAGCCGAGATCACACCACTGTACTCCAGCCTGGGTGACAGAGCGAGACTGTCTCAAAGAAAAGGGAGCGAGGAAAGCGGCAGCAGCTGTTGTCCCGTGGCCTTGTATAGGACACATTACAAATTGCTGTGCTGCAGAGAAAGCAACATCACAGCCAAGTAGGAGCTCTAGGAGCGGAGAACCTCAGTCCTACAACTGCCAGGAACAGAATTCTGTCAAAAAACAGTGAGCTCAGAAGAGGACCCAGTCCTCAGATGAGGTTACAACCCTGACCAACGTGTTGATTTCAGCCTAGTGAGACTCAAAGCGAAGGACCCAGCTAACTTGTACCCAGGGTCTCAAAGTGTTAGACAGCAAATGGGTATTGTTTCAAGCTGCTAACTCTGCAGTTATGCCCTCCACGCAGCGGCCAGAATGAGTCTTTTAAAATTCAAGTCAGGGCCAGGTGCGGTGACTCACTCCTGTAATCCCAGCACTTTGGGAGGCTGAAGCAGGTGGATCACCTGAAGTCAGGAGTTCAAGACCAGCCTAGCTAAGATAGTGAAACCCTGTCACTACTAAAAATACAAAAAACTTAGTGGGGCGTGGTGACAGGCACCTATAATCCCAGCTACTCAGGAGGCTGAGGCAGAGAATTGCTTGAACCTGGGAGGCAGAGGTTGCAGTGAGCCAAGATCGCACCGCTGCATGCCAGCCTGGGGGACAGAAAGAGAATTCGTCTCAAAAAATCAATAAATAAAAATAAAATTGAAGTCAGATCAGCTCCAAGCCTTCCAATGGCAGAAACTGGGAGAGGCGTTTGGAGGTTGTTGCTGTCTGGCAGCTTGGTGATGAATGGAATTTGACAGAGGTGCTGCTGCAGGTTGGAGAAGAGAGATCAGATTCTGGATCTATTTAGAAGACAGGGAGGGTGGGGTTTGCTGTTGGACTGGATGAGGGTAGGAGACAAAGACAGGAGCCCAGGTTGATGAAGAACTCAGGGTTCTGAATCAGGAGTGGCTGATTCAAGCTGGGTAGTTAGCATTTGGGAAAGGTAGGGGTGTGTGTGCAATGTGGTCAGACGCTAGTCAGGAGCATTTACATACATGAGTCAACCTGGGAGTGAACTTGTGTCCAACTGAACATGAAGCAATTATTCAAAGTTGGTTTCCGGAATATTCCCAGGGTGAAATAACTTCCTGTGTTTATCACTGTCTTCTCAGTGTAAGTGTTTGCTTGTCTGGTGAACTGAGTTAGCCTTGTCTGTTGAAACTTGGAGTGCTGGGCATGCAGGAAAAATTCTGTGAAAATCTCAGGGAGCTGACAGAGACTTTCAAAAGAAAAAAAAGTGAACATTATCCTTGGGCTCTTTTATGAGAGGGAAATTGTTTGATTTAGTCAACTCCTGACTGAGTATTGCTTGTAAGTAAAGGTCTAGGGGAGTGATGAATAAGAAAAGCACAGAACACCCCAGAATAATGGGAGGGAGCCACTCCAAAGGCCAAATGTCCAGAATATATGATGGGAGATGCCACATGCATCATTGTGTTGCAGACCCTTGTGTGATTCTCTTGAATCACATGGATGGTTAAGAACATGGATTCTAAAACTCAGCTCTCACCAGGCGCAGTGGCTCACGCCTATAATCCCAGCACTTTGGGAGGCTGAGGCGAGTGGATCACGAAGTTGGCAGATCAAGACCATCCTCGCATGGTGAAACCTCATCTCTACTAAAAATACAAAAAAATTAGCTGGACATGGTGGTGCATGGCTATAGTCCCAGCTACTCAGGAGGCTGAGGCAGGAGAATGGCTTGAACCCGGGAGGCAGAGGTTGCAGTGAGCTGAGATTATGCCACTGCACTTCAGTCTGGGGACAGAGCGAGACTCCATGAAAAAAAAAAAAAAAAAAAAAAAAAACCATCTCTCCCACTGAGCTACGTGGGAGAGCTTGTTCAAGCTAAGACACTGAACTTGACCATCCTGTCTCAGCTTCTTCACCAGAAAATGGGGTGGTGCTATTATGATAATAATGGTGTTATTCTATGGTAATAATACCATCATCATAGAAATAAGTCAGAAACAGACACGCACTGCTCAGAGCAGTGCCTTGTATCAAGTTAGCACAAAATCAGCATCTGCAATTTTTATCCTGATGCTGTTTCAGATATGTATTTTTTGTTATTATGAAACCACAACATATTTTTAAATGTCAGAGGAGAGAATGGAAAAGAAACCATCATAATCTCATTTCCCTGGCACAATCTTAACTTTACACAGTCCCTGCAAATAGTTTCAACATTGATCATTTTATACTTACGAAAGTAGCTGGCATAGAGCAGGCACTCAATAAAAGGCTCGCTGGCTAACTGCCGAATTCAGTGGAAACTATTTTGTTTTATGCTTTGTGTACCTAAAATTATATCAGATATATTTCGCTTTGGGTTTTTTTTTTTCTCATAAACTACACAATTACAATTTTATGGCTACAAGATATCTCATGGTGTCAATGTAACAAGCCTCACATAAGTCATTTTTCTTTTGCTGTACTATTATACATGGAATTACTACAAACCATACTATTTTAGATAACACCACATTGAACCATTTTGTACACAGTGTTTTGCTTTTTTTCTAAAATTTCTTAAGACAACTGTGGAATTTGGAAATAAATACTCTCAGCTAAACTTTCAAGTTATCTGTAAGGGAGCCTAAAAAAGTTAAACTAAAATGAGATTATTTTTATAGGATCAGGTTGTAATAAAATGAACTTGGCTGGGCACGGTGGCTCATGCCTATAATCTCAGCATTTCGGGAGGCCAAGGCAGGCAGATCACGAGGTCAGGAGTTCAAGACCAGCCTGGCCAACATGGTAAAACCCCATCTCAACTAAAAATACAAAAATTAGCCAGATATGGCTATGCATGCCTGTAGTCCCAGCTACTCGGGAAGCTGAGGCAGAAGAATCGCTTGAATCCAGGAGGCAGAGGTTGTGGTGAGCCAAGATTACACTACTCCAGTCTGGGCAACAGAACAAGACTAAATCTCAATAATAAAATAAAATGAACTTCACACTTATTTTTTTTTTTTGTCTTTTCTTTTTCCTTTTGGTGGAGAATAGGGTCTCACTATATTGCCCAGGCAGGTCTTGAACTCCTGGGCTCAGGCTACCCTCTCACGTCTGCCTCCCTAAGAGCTGAGATTACAGGCGTGAGCCACCACACCCGGCCTAAAATGAACTTCACAAGACGACAGTGACGTGAATGAAACAGTGGCCTCATTTTCATTTTGAAAAGCTGCTTCTCCCTCTTTCGAAAAAGTTGTATTAGAAACAACTCCTCTAACACTGTATTGATCTTTTATCTGAGGTTAATAAAAGTATGAGTATTTTGATGTATTCATTAACAAAAAGAACAATCAATTCACCTTTAGTAGGTGTAAGTAAGGGAAGACCTCAGCAGATCTGGTTAACTCTCAGTCTGGCTTTAGAAAGCCACAGTGGGCTGGATGCGGTGGCTCACTCCTGTAATCCCAGCACTATGGGAGGCCAAGGTGGAAGGATCACCTAAAGGTAAAAGTTTGAGACCAGAGCCTAGCCAACATGGCGAAACCCCATCTCTACTAAAAATACAAAAATTAGCCATGTAATCCCAGCTTGGGAGGCTAAAGCAGTAGAATCACTTGAACCCAGAAGGCAGAGGTTGAGCTGGGCTGAGACCGTGCCACTCACTGCACTCCAGCTTGGGCAACAGAGTGAGACTCTGTCTCAAAAAATAATAATAATAAATAAAATAAAAGGCTGCAGCTGAAAATTTCATAGCTACATATTGTAATTTTCTAAAGCAGCAGTCCCCAAATCTTAGGAACTGTTGGATGCATAAATTTCTCCCTCGTGGTGCTGGTAAAGCAGAGAGGAAGGGTGAGTCACAACAATCTTTTTAATGGTAACGTTTATAGACCTCCAAGAGAGGCACTTCCCTAGTAATGCAGAAACCGCGGCTGCACATTGACGCTCGCTCTATAATGGAAGACTAAGACTCGTGGTCCAGAGTGTGGGCCGGAACCAGTGGCTCATGCCTGTAATTCCAGCACTTTGGGAGGCTGCGGTGGGCAGATCACGAGGTCAGGAGTTCAAGACCAGCCTGGCCAATATGGTGAAACCCTGTCTGTACTAAAAATACAAAAATTAGCTGGGTGCAATGGCAGGTGCTTGTAATCCCAGCTACTCGGGAGGCTGAGGCAGGAGAATCGCTTGAAACTGGGAGGTGGAGGTTGCAGTGAGCCAAGATCCCACCACTGCACTCTAGCCAGGGTGACAAAGCAAGACTCCGTCTCAAACAAATGAACAAAATGAACAAAAAAACAGAGTGCGGTCTCCAGAACCTGGAAGCTGTGAGTGTGAACAGCGGCTTTGCCACTTGCTGCCAGGGGACTGCAGGCAAGTGAGTAACTGACCAAGGCAGGGTTCAGGGTCCCAGGTCTCCTCGCCTCCAAAGTCCCTGGGCTTCCATACCTCATGCTAACACTCTCCAGAGTGGTTCTTCTCCTACTTTGGTTGATTCTGAAGTTCCCTGTAAGTGGGAAGAATGAAAACTATCCTTTAGTGAGAGACGATGCTACCTTAGATTAGCATGGTCACAGAAGAGGCAAGGAGGAATGGCTGTTTTCAGGATCTATTTGAAGAAAATGTGGCAGAATCATAAAATATCTGTGAAATCTGATTGTAAACTGAAAGGAAGCTTCAGCACACGACAGTGTTCCACAGATGTGTTCGTTGATTTGAACGAGTGACTGCCAAACCTGCAATGTGGGATCCTTGCTTTAAAAATCTGCTGCAGATTAAAAAGAGAATCTTTCTCCTCAAATCTCTTTTTTTTTTTTTTTTTTTTTTTGAGACAGGGTCTGTCACCCAGGCTGGAATGCAGTGGCACAGTCATGGCTCACTGCAGCCTCAAACTCCTAAGCTCAGGAGATCCTCCGCCTTAGCTTCCTAAGACCATGTCCAGCTAATCCTTTAAATTTTTTTGTAGAGAATGTTTTGAGCTATGCTGCTTAGGCTGGTCTCAAACTCCTGGCCTCAGGGAATATTCCCACCTCACCTCCTAAAGTGCTGGGATTACAGGCAAGAGCCACCACAGCCAGCCATTTCCTTTCTGATTTTATCACTTGAATTATGGCCATAAGGCTAGATGAAAAGAAAACAAAATTAGAGAACCTGAGAATGAAATCACTGATTCAGTGACTGCTGCATGTTCTCCTCTATGATTTATTCCATTTAATCTTCAGAGGAACCCAGTGAGGTGGGGTTCTTCATCCCCTTTCTACATATGAGAAAACTGAGGTGTAAAGAACTTGCAGAATTTGCCAGAAGCCACAGGAACTGTTAAGCAAAAAAAACAAGGATTCCAAATGGGAGTGTGTAATTCCCAGTTTACAGACTTAATCACAAGGCTGCAACCGCTCCTGCCATGCAGGGAAAAGTGGGGGTGGGGGTCCAGTCAGTATGAGGGAGGTGGGCAAAGTTCTTCTCTCTGTGAATCACACAACTTGCTCAGGTCAGCCTGAGGAGACAGAGGCCACATCTTTGTTGCTAGCTTGTGTCTACAGTTCCCTAGAGCTCTGTTTCTCTTACAAAGTTAAGAACACACAACAGCCCCTTGAGTTGGGAGCAGGAAAGCATTGACTTTTGTTACCCAGTCTTGAGAAAGTTGATGGTTCTAGGTCCTTTTCACTGTGTAGAAGCCTGACATTTGATATTTGGGGAAAAGGTGGGAGAAAAAAAGACTCCAAACTCCAAGCCCAGGCTGCTTTGGGCCTGCCTGCGTGATTCTTTGCCAAACAGGAACCCTTCCTTGGCTGCCTTCCCTCCTAAATGATTTTCAAACTACAGTTTTAAAAACAGTTCCTTCGGGGAATTATAAAAGTAATCATGTTTTTGATGGAAAATTGTTGTGTCAACAGAAATGCATGAAAAATAGAATCACCAATTCCCCATCACCCAGAGAGAACCACTGTTAACATTTTAACTACTTTTTCTTTTTTTTTTTCCTTATGCATAAATATTATTTTGTAAGCACTCAACTGCATAAAAAGTTTTGGAGCATGCACTTTTAAAAATTCATCATTGTATTACCAGCATTTTCCCATGTTCTAAAAGTTTTCTAAAACTTGGAAAACATTATTTTTAATAACTACCTAATAGTCTACCCATAGATTATTATAACATTTAATAATTTCTCCATCGGTGGACATGCCTTTGTATCCTATTTCAAACAGCATTTCTCCCATACAAATGTTTAGCCTTTATACAGAGATTATAGTTTGATCTCACCAATCAAACTACTTATATTTCCCACCAACTTCCTTCTAGGCTTTTCTGGATCAGAAGAGTTGGGATGTAAATTACAGGAGTGATCTCAACTCAGAAACAAATTCCATTGCTGAACTGCAGCAGCAACGCCCTCTGAGGAGAAGGGAACGTGCCCTTTCAGTGAGCTTTTGGGTCACCCCAGTTAAAAGCGAACCAACACAGAAGTTCCCCTTGACTCTCTTCCCCTACCCCATCCCAGCCACCCTGCAGCCTTACGTTGCTCTTCCCCTCAATTTCAATTTCTGCCGCTTTACCTCCCATTTATTTCACAAAACGTTGTAATCTATGTTCGCACTCCCACCACTGCTGAAACAGCTCTTGCAAAACGCTAAATCCATTGTGCTATGCTTTACATTCGTTTCTAATTGCACAAGTGACACAGAACAGCACTTTCTTCGTTAAAATAGTCATTAACAACTTAAAGGTGAATATTAAATTCACTGTTAACCACTTGTTCCCAATCTCAGGAACATCAAGAGTATCTAGTATTGCACATGCGATGCATTTTCTTCAGATCCTGTTTCTAAAGAAGTGGAGGTGGAAATGAGAGGGGAAGAGAAGGGAGGAGGAGAGGGGAGGAAGCCACAGCACAGGCTACCTATAACGCTGTATTTACCTATAACTCTACTTTTGTGTGAGTGTTTCATTTTGTTTGGGTTTTTGTTTTTTTTTTTTTTTTTGAGATGGAGTCTTGCTCTGTTGCCCAGGCTGGAGTGCAGTGCCACGATCTCTGCTCGCTGCAACCTCCACCTCCCGGGTTTCAAGCAATTCTCCTGCCTCAGCCTACCAAGTAGCTGGGATTACAGGCGTCCTCCATCATGCCCGGTTAATTTTTGTGTTTTTAGTAGAGACAGGGTTTCACCATGTTGGCCAGGCTGGTCTCGAACTCCTGATGGACATTCAGGTTGTTTCTAGTTCTTCACTATAACAATCGATAATGCAACAAAGGGCACCCTTTACCCCTTCTCCCTGTGCACCTGTGAGAATTTCATTTCCCTAGGGCAGATAAAGAGAATTGCACCTGCAGGCTGATTGAGCGCGCACTTTTCCTTTTAACATTAATAGGCTCCGACAACCTCACCACCACCACAACGTGGCACATTTACATGAACAGCCCATTTCAACCGCATGCTACTCGGCTCTTCAGTAGCCCCATACAGCAGGTTCCTCTCTTCTATCTTTTACTCCACGTTGCCTTCTTGTTGCTTTCCCTCTCTCCCAGCCCATGCTTCTCAATCCCTTTTGCAATCTTCCCCTCTGCTGTCTGTCCTGAAATGTGGTTGTTGCCTGTAATTCTCCTTGTTCTGCATGAATGATCTCGTATATTCCTATGACTTGCACAACCAGTTTTCTTATGGGTCACAGACTCAAATACTTACAGAAGGCAGGTGGGGCAAGGAAATACTGGGGAATCTTGTACCTCCCCCCATACCCAAGCCCGACCCCACCCCTGAGCTCCAGCTGTTGTTGCTTTATTGGAATATATGCATAATACTCTCAGATTTCTTTTTCTCCAAAAGGAGGCGGAAATCTGGCTTTGAGTATAAGTACTTACATTTTCTTAAGAACTGAAAACCGATTCGAAAGAAATTTTAATCCCTTCTGTTCAACAGAACACCCCTGTGGAGTAGGTTCAGCTGCCAAGATCCCAGATGGTGACTTTGACTCACGCAAAATCACTCCCTTTCCTAACACCCACCTGTGGCCTTATCCAATCAGGAGCCAGTCCCGTGATTCCACCTGAGAAATCATTCCAGCATTCAGCCCACCTTTCCATCCTCACTGTTATTGCCTTAATTCCAACTCACAAGCAATCAAATCCTGACTGTGACCAGAACATTCTACCTGGCTTTCCTGCAATTAGGTGATGTCTACCTTACCTGCCTTGTGCTACCCTCCGCTCCATTCAAAAGCATTCTTGCCATGGCTGCTGGAGAGAACCTCACCTCAGAGGAGGCAGGGAGGGGGGAAGCAAGAGGTGGAGGCAGAGAAGAGGAAGAGAAAGAGAAAGCGTCCATGTTGTCTCTGCTCAGAGAGCCTTGCTAGCGCCATGCTGCCCATAAAACAGCTGCCAACTGTGGTCACCTTTGTTCAGCACTTGACTCAACATGATAAAATTTGATCCAACATTATGAAATCAGATTTCATATAAGCATTTAGATATTGGGCTTTTCCTCTAACTGGCGCTGGACACGGTGGCTCACGCCTATAATCCCAGGATTTTGGGAGGCCGAGGCAAGCAGATCACCTGAGGTCAGGAGTTCAAGACCAGCCTGGCCAACATGGTGAAACCCTGTCTCTACCTAAAAATACAAAAATTAGCTGGGCATGGTGGTGGGCACCTGTAATCCCAGCTACTTGGGAGCCTGAGGCAGGAGAATCGCTTGAACCAGGGAGATGGAGTTTACAGTGACCTGAGATTGTGCCACTGCACTCTAGCCTAGCAACAAGAACGATGCTGTTTCAAAATAAATAAATAAACAAAAAACTAACTGGCTTATAGCACTGTGTCTTTAGTCTCCCATGGAATCAATCCTCTGAAGCCAGGTAGTGACCACTGCTTTGGGGAGTCAGGTGCCTTACAGTCCTGCAGTTTTTCACCTTTCTCTGTTTCTGTACCCTGGCCAGCCTCATATTGCCTGACCCTGAAGGAGTTTCCAACCACTGAACCACAGGCCAAAATTCAATCTGTTAATGTGCCCACAAGACCCTGTGTGAACGGCCCGTATGCGCCGCCATGGTCTCTATTCCCAGCCCTTCTCTTCATCCCCATCCTTTCTTCCACCACTAATAACAGTTGACTCACAAAGAAATTGTTTCAGACCTGAACCTAACCACCACTCAAATGCCATGGTTGTTTTAGTTACTTAAATCAAGGCAGACACACTCCGTTCAGAGAGGTCTTCCCTTTGGCTCAATAAATCTCTCTTCAAATCGCTAATGAAGTTGAACTTGCTCTAGACACTGCATTTCAAGTTTATGAAACTACTACTGAAGCTCTTCATTTAGTTCTCAGGAGTGCACTACTCCACAATGATGCTAATAGAGGGAGACTCAGTTGCTGACGGACAAAGACACACCTAATTTAATTAAAAACCCCCAGGAGAAGTGCAGTGAAGCTCACCCAGTAAGAATGAGGTTCACATTCTTAGAGCACACATGCACGCACACACACACACCCTTAACTGTCTCCTCGACATATATAATTATTATACATCATGATTATTTTGCTCCATGGTAATTAGCTAAAAATAAAAGTTGGCTCTATAATCTACTGAGATAGGATGATTTTTGTTAAAACTAGATAATTTTCAATGTTTTATTAATTCTTTGAAATGGTAAAGTCTACTTGATGCTTACCCCTAATTGAGTGTTCCTTTTTTTTTTTTTTTTTTTTTTTAACTTTTCTGTGGCCCAGGTTGGAGTGTAGTGGCTCAGTCTCGGCTCACTGGGACGTCCGCCTCCCGGGTTGAAGCCATTCTTCCACCTCAGCCTCCCGAGTAGCTAGGATTACAGGCACGTGCCACCACGCCTCGCTAATTTTCACTTTTAGTAGAGATGCGGGTTTCACTATGTTGAGCGGGCTGGGCTGGTCTTGAACTCATGACCTCAGGTGATCCGCCCGCCTCAGCCTCCAAAAGTGCTGGGATTACAGAAGTGAGCCACGGCGCCCTGCCAAGTCTCCCTTCTTTCTTAGGACTAATAACATGATTTCAACTAGGTAGGGAGATGAAAACTACATTTCCCAGCCTCCTTTGCAACAAGGCATGGCTATTTAACAGACCTCTGGCCAATGAGATGTCAGAATCATTGATTGGGGTTTCCCCAAAAACTCCTTAAAGGTGATAGCACGTAGGAGTGCAGACTTCAGTGATTCCTCTGCCCTTCTCCCTAGAAGACGATGTTACTGTCTGCTACCTGGAAAACGACGTTCAGGGAAAGGTAAAAAAATCGGACCTTAAAATCCACACCACATCAACACCTGCCTCTGGGTTATACCCCTGCCTCTGGCTCTCTACCTCTAGATTATGCAATAAATAAGGAGCATAAATCTTACCTAAGTTTCTGGTATCTGGGTTTTCCATTATAGGCAGGCAAAGTATATTCCGTTCAAAGCAGTTTTGAACAGCTGAAGAAGATGAACACATTTTTCCCACTGGCTAACCCACTCAAAATCACGGGCAGGTACTAATTAAGAAACAGCTGTAAATAATAATAATTTATATTATCTCAAAATTCTTAATGTGCCATATTACCATTTTCTGCCTTTTGATCCACATACAATCCAACATAAAATTTATCAACTACACATGTAAAAACAGTACGAACCATCTGCAAAATTTCAACCCAAAGTTTTATTTCCATTTTGGCCTAAAGCAAGATGTTCCTTGTGGGGGTGGGAGGCCCTCGATTTCCCACCTTACTCTGCATGACTCAATCTGAATGCATCCCATTGGCATTCTGGACTTTTCTATAATCTCCTTTTCTTAATAAATTCAAGATGGCTCCACAAATCACCAACAGCTTATAATAGCATTATTGTTTCTGGGCTAAATCAGGGATGCAGCACTGGCCAGTAGCGATGTCTATGGATTATCTGAAAAATTGCTTCAATTCCCCACTTGTTTCTAAGTGAGTATAGGCCTCACCCCTGGGCATGGCTGAACATTACTCATAGTCAAACCGAGAGTTTCAACGCTAAATGTGACAATGTATCTGTTTTCTCTCTAGCAGATTATTCAAATACCATCTAGTTGAAGTCAAGCTGTCCCAAAGCCCACTGAATCTTTGCCCCAAAGGTCCCTGTAGGAACCCTTGAAGAGCTTCTTTTGCTATACTGTAATCTCTTTCTCAGTGAGTATGTGATGATTGGATGCTTTCAGCCCAATTCTTTTCTCCTGCCTCATGTCCCCTAGAGATCCCAATGGCTCCTTATAAAAGCCATGTGTGTCTTATCTCTTCCCATGCAGTTGCTCAAACCAGAAAGCAGGCTGGAAAACATTTCCCCAACTGTACTGTTTTTCATCATTTCTTTCTGACACCCTCAGATAACTTGTTAGCATATTGTCTTTATTCAGCGCAGCCCTCACTGGGGGTTTGGGGGCTTAATGATATCACCCAGAAATTTGTAATTAGAAACAAAAATGCCCCTTTCAAAATCTATTAACACTGGGAGAGGGAAGAAAAAACACTTTTGAAGTTGCTGGTACAACCCCAAATGAATGAGGTCTCTTCGGACCAGACAGAAACACTGCCAGCTTTGAGGATGCTCCCAGGAGAGCACTGGAAACAAATCACAAGTAACCTTTTGGGCTGCTGTTGCCAGTGCCACATGCAAGGGCTGACACCAGGACCTGGGATTGGCCTTGAACATCTTTTTTTTTTTTTTTTTTGAGACACAGTCTCACTCTGTCACCCAGGCTGCAGTGCAATGGCGTGATCTTGGCTCATTGCAACTTCCGCCTCCGGGGTTCAAGCAATTCTCTCACCTCAGCCTCTCGAGTAGCTGGGATTACAGGCGCCCGCCATGACTGGCTAATTTTTGTATTTCTGTAGAGACGAAGTTTCACCATGTTGGCCAGGCTGGTCTTGAACTCCTGACCTCAAGTGATCCACCCACCTCAGCCTCCCAAAGTGCTGGGATTACAGGTGTGAGCCACCACGCCCGGCCAGCTTGGAAATTTTATAGGAAATGTCACTGCTCTCTTGACTCTCCCTGGGAGAAGTTTTGTTTCTCGAAGCTCCTATAAGTCTCTAAGAAGTGGTGTGAATTTCTACCTCTGTGGAGACTGAGCCCAGTGACTTTTGGTAACTGAGTTTTTTCATTCAATAAATTGAAGGGCCTCTCCCAACAAGCCTATTCCTGGGATCTTAACTGCTGTCAATGGGGGTTATGGTGTGTTCCTATGAATAATAAGACCAGAGTTCTACTGTCTGATACATTAGCTGCTAGACACAGGTGACTGTTTAAATGTAAACTCAGAATAACAAAAATTAAATGAAGTTAAAGATTCATCCCCTCACAGTTGCGTAGCTGCATTTCAGGAGCCCAGTAGCCACATATGGGTGGTGGTTACCATATAGGACAGGAGAGGCTGGGCACGGTGGCTCACACCTGGAATCCCAGCACTTTGGGAGGCCGAGGCAGGTGGATCACCTGAGGTCAGGAGTTCAAGACCAGCCTGGCCAACACAGTGAAACCCTGTCCCTACCAAAAAATACAAAAATTAGCCAGGCATGGTGGTGGATGCCTGCAATCCCAGCTACTCAGGAGGCTGAGGCAGGAGAATCACTTGAACTCAGGAGTTGGAGATTGCAGTGAGCTGAGATCGCACCACTGCACTCCAGCCTGGGCGACCGAGTGAGACTCCATCTCAAAAATAAATAAATAAATAAATCACATAGGACAGGACAGATGCAAAACATTCATATCATCCTAGAAAGTTCTCTCTGAACAGTGCTGGAGTAAGTAGTCGGATTTGCCTGAGACCCTCCTGGACTATACCTGCTGTCTACCAATAGCACCCTGTTTCACTCGCAAAAATGTCCTGGTAATTCAGCTACCCTCTCTGCCCACTGGGCGACAGTCTTTGCCAGGACTTCCCTGAAACCCAAAGCTCTTTGTGTTGATGAATAAGTTGGCAGTGTCCAGCAATCTCCCTACTTTTTTTTTTTCCCCTCTGATTCCCTCTCACCCATCAAAAGCAACAATTTTTGGAACAGGAAAAAAAAAAATCCTAGTGAAGAAGTTCATTTCTCCCCAATTAAATGATTTCCTTGTCAGCGGTTTCAGTTTTGTTTTGTATTTCCCTTTGCCTAAAGCAGCTCGGATGGGTGCCCTTTGCCCTGAATCATGCCCACAGATCACGGGAAGGAGGGCCTCCAGGCTTCTCCTGAGTCCTCCTGGCCGCCCTCCTCACCTCCCCAACCTCCCCTTCCCACCTTGCCCAGCAGAGGGCATCTGAGTTTAATAATCTCAATAAAGAACATGTACACAACCAGGATTTTTTTTCCTTTCTTTCAGTGATACTTTTTCTTTGTGAGCAGCAATTGAGGTGCCAGCTAATATAGGTCACCTGAAGGACAAGCTGTCAGAATCGGAGCTCAGAGCCGCCAGTTCGTTAGGGAACCGCACACTCAGCTCCCACCCAGCTTGGGACGCCCAGCGGGAGCCTCCCTTGCAAACACCAGCAGACACCATTTTGCAGAACGCTTCGGAAACGCCAGTTAAACTGTGTTAGGTGCAACGCATGCAGCCAAGACGGGCACGGAGAGCGAGGGGGCTGGTCCGCAGGAAGCAAGCCTCCTG